AATCCTAATGGCCATGATCGTATCAAATAAAAACATGGCTCTTCTGGTTCTTTTATATAATATATATACCCCACTTGTGTGCTTTGAGTGAGTTCTTATTGTCCATGTGAAATGATGACTTGAGTTTATGCATTACAATTAGGATTAAATACTTTTTTGGTCACTAGATTTTATATGAAAATTCTATTTGGTCATTGAGAAAATTTTTTAACCAAAATTTCATCGTGTTTTCCTAAGTTTACAATTTTTGGGTGTTCCGGGTACACCACGTGGCTGGTGTACCATCCAATAGACGGAGGACATATGGAATATTTCCAATGCAGCCCGCCACATGTCATAAAAAGAATGCAGTAAGTTGGACAATAATTCCACATGTCCTATGTTTATTGGATGGTACACCAGCCACGTGGTGTACCCGGAACATATAAAAAATTCTCGTCATTAAGATAATCGCAAAATCGCAAAAAATATAAGTTTTTATTTTTTATTTGTTTTCCTCACAATTCCAATTTCAACCCAAGACTTTCCCCAATTTGTTAAACCCTAATAACACAATACACCCTAACATGTTGAGTTAGAGGAAGAAGATTGAACGTGCTTCATAAAAAAATTAAAATTAAAATAATAACTAGATTTAACATAAGATAAAGGAATGTCTATAAATTGTAAAATTTGGGAAACACAGTGATTAATTTGGCTAAATTTTTTTCTTAGTGACCAAATTGAATTTTCGTGCAAAACTCAGTGACCAAAAAGGTATTTAACCCTTATAATTATAAAAGGATTTTTTTCTTTTCTTTCTAGACTCTGAAATAATGATGACTTGAGTTTAGCCATAAGTACATGTAGATTTTATGGTAGAGATAATATAAGTGCGTATCTGGTGGGAATATTATTCCACTCATAATATGATGAAGTGATAAGGTTCTTCCTAGTGAGTTTTTTTTTTTTTTTTTTGACTTAGTTGCAGGCTTAATTATTATTATTATTGTTAGTAGTAGTGTGATGACAAGAAGTAACTTTTTGCAATACCTAATGCAGATATGTGATATTTGAAATGGATTTGTTCTTTCACTTGTGGTGGAAAAAATTGAGGCCCAATGAAAGTTCATGTCATCCTGAAACCGTTCAGTTTTTCGTTGGTGGAAAATAACGAATGTCCAACGGCATATGTCTATTGAAACTTGATTATAATTTAATATAGTCTAAGGAGACTTATCCAAAATTCTTTGGCTCAAGCATATAAGCCTTGTGGCTAAGTATCGCAGGTTCTGAGATAATCAACCAGCAGAATCCCATAAATTGGCTAATAAAATTCTAAGTAAGAATAATGTCAAGAAGAGTAATGTTTTTTTGTTAGACAGTTTTCGGCACGTTATGTTATCATCAGATTATGAATTGTTGATTATATGAATTCTTATCATGACAAAAATTTAATAGTCTGATAACGTACACATCAAAGTGAAATGATATTATCTATTATACAGATAATATCTAGACAATTTATTTCTCTAATAGACTCGTACAACATTTTATTCACTTAAATCAGCTAGACCAGCTTTTAATTTTGTGCGTACTTGGCCTTGTAATCACTCCAAAGCTGATCAACATTCTTCCCCAGCAAATCAACAAAATACTTAGCACTATAACCACTCCTCAATTTCTTATTGAGTTCTGCCACAAACCCACTTCTCCGACCATTCAAATAGTCCAAAAACCTAGCAGTAACATCATAGCCCTGGTCCCACCTATTCCCTTGCCCTGGCTGAACCCAATGGCTTGGCACAAACCCTGCCTTCAGCCTCACGTAATCAGCAATTCCTTCAATCAAACCCCCAGGAGCTTGACCATTCCCATTCCACTGCCACACGTGCGTTGACTCATGATAAAGCACACCGCTGATCTCTCTCTTCACATC